ATTTTAATTTTATATTTACATGCTTACAAAGTTTGTATACATTGTTTCACATCATTCATTCACAATGTGTTTCATACAATCACTCATATTCATAATATTTTATAATATTAATCAACATTTTATGCTGTCTTTCCAGATACCCTCTGTATCTTTCCCATTTCTTTACCTCCACTCTCTCCACTCACCAGATTCTGTAAGCCTATGACTTCTGCCAGTGCTCACCCCTCTGCTCTCATCCTCCCCACCTTGGATCATCAAACATGTTTTAATACTATCTTTCTATCTCTTCAATAATGGTCTTATGCAGTATTTGTCCTAATGAGACATAGTTCCCTCAGCACAATACTTTCCAGTCTCTCTCAAGTTAGGTAGTGATTTTCTAAATCGATACTCCTGACTACTATGTAGTATTTCATCATGTGAATGTGCCACAATTTCTCAATACATTCACATGTGTTTGGACATATGGGCTATTTCAGTGTTCTTGAGATTGTGAATAATGCTGCTGTGAACATTAGTGTACAAATCTCTGTTTGTGTCTCAGTTCTCATTTTCACAAGGTATATTCCAAGCAGTGGAATAGCAAGGTCATATGGAATTTCTATGTTCAGCTTTTTGAGGAAACACCAAACTGCTTTCCAGAGTGGTTGTGTCATTTTACAATCCCACAGTGTATGAGAGTGTGACCGCTAGTGATTTTGAACATTTCTTCATGTGTTTGTTGGCAATCTGAATTTCTTCTTTGGTGAAGTATCTATTGATATCTTGTGCCCATTTTAGGATTGGGCTGTCTTTTTCTTGTTGAGGTGCTAGTCTATTCTATAAATTTTATATTTGAGTCCCTTATCAGATATGTCATTGTCGAATATCCCTCAAACTCCCAGTCTGTGGGTTTCCTTTTTACCCTGTTGGAAAAGTTTTCTGATGTGCATAAGGATTTGATTTGTTTAGAAAATATCATTCATCAATTTTATCTTCTCCTGGTTAGAGGCTTTCCTTTATGAGTCTCTCAGGTTGGAAGACATTGAAAACATGAGATGCTTAGAAGTCTGTTCATGGTTAGATTACTGTTTCTAGTGCTGTTCTTAGTTTTTCTCTGATAAGCTTTATAGTAATTGGTTTTATTCCTAGGTCTCTGATCCACTTTGTTTGGTTTTTATGTATGGTGTGAAGTGCGGGTCTTGTTTCAGTTTCCTGCAAATTGTTTTCCAATTTTGCCAGCACCATTTGTTAAAGAGGTTGTTGTTTCCCCACTTAACTGATTTTGTCTGCTTGTCAAAGATCAATTGACCATATGTAGATAACTAGATTTTTGAGTTATCAGTTCTAGTCCATTGATCTATATATCTGTCACTGTACTAGTACCATTCTATCTTCATTACTACGGCTGAGAAACAGAATTTGATATCAGGGAAAGTGATGCCCCCTTTGTTTTTCCTTCTCATTAGTGCTTTGCTTATTTGGGTCTCTTTTCGTTTCAGATAAAATTGGAAATTGCATTTTCCATCTCATTGAAGAATGGAATTGCTATCTGTATTGGGATTGCATTTAACTTGTAGCCTCGATGAGCTCTGGGAGGATATCAAGAATATCATCCAAGAAGAATACAAAAGGTCATTACAAAGATGAAGAAGAAGAAGAAGAAGAAGAAGAAGAGACCAAAATGGATGTCAGAAGAGACTCTGAATATTGTGCTAGAGCACTGAGAAGCCAAAGCAAAGGGAAGAAATCAAGAAGTTAAGGAGCGAGAGCGACGCAGTTCGAGAGCGAGGCCGCCAGACGGGGGAACGCTGCCGCCAGATGGAGAACGCCGCCGCCAGACAGGGTTCCACCGTGAGAGGGACGTGGAAAAGACCC